AACTTGAGAAAGTTTTGGCCGGGGTATTTTCTCAACAGGAAAAAAAATAATGAATAAGTTTTGAAGTTACATAAATTATTTTTTAAAAACAAAACTTGACTTTGAAATTAATCCTAATTAAGTATATAGATTTTTTTGGTAATGAAAATTGATATTAATAACCATTTCACATTAAAAGAGTTGATTGTGCTCAAAAATATTTTTAATTAATTCAATTTAAGAATGGGGAAAAATACTTTAAAAAAAATCGAAACCAAAATCTAATTTCAGAAAACTTCAAACATCTTAAAAACTAATTTGCTATCAGATCTGAAACTTGGCGGCAATCTTCCTAATGATATGAGCCACAAAAAAATGAAAAAATGAAAAAATAATAATTGGTATTGAAAATTGTAGGCTTATACCGTGTAATCTTAAAAAAATAAAGTAAAAAGAACTGTATTGTCCCTGAATTTTCTTTTTCGGGGGTAAGCAATTGGTAGATAGTCAGGATATTCTTCTTAATGTCATTTTGATTGCAGTGAAGTACGCAAGTATAAAAGAGAAAATTTATTTTGTATGCATTGTACCGTTAATTTCCTTTTAATGGAATACATTTACGCTAAAGAATAATACTTAAAACTACTTTTGCATCAAAATATATTTTTTCTTACACGGAGAGTGCAATTTTCTTGGGGCAAGGAATTAGTTCGAACTTTGTGGGATGTTAGATTCAGTTTTCCTGTTTGAAGAAGATATATAGTTATAGGAGCCACTATTCAATAATTTTCTAGGTCTGGGGGCGTAACAATTCGAAGGGCTTTGGGTGCACGGGAGGTTGAAAACAGCCTTGCTGCGTGTTTTTTTCCCCATGGGATTTCCTGTTAATATCTTATAGCAATAGCGCACACATGAATTTTTTAAGGGAGGGGGGTCCAGGGTCGAAAGTCCACCATCCTTGTATCATGCTTCTTTTGATTTTGCGATTTTCGGGAACAAAAAAGCAGTGAAAAACTAATAGTGAATAAATAATTAGCATTTATTAATAAAATTAATTATTAATAACAAATAATTAAATTTTACGTACTATATACTAAGAATTATAATCAATCGCAAAAAAAGTTAAGAATTTTTTTTTTTTTGGGGGGTCCGGACCCCTAGGACTCCTTTGTGTGCGTTCCTGCCGTATAGCTTTGAGGGTTCTGTGAGTCGGAAAAGTTTGAAGAGCACTGCGTAACATGAATAACATTTTTAAAGGATAAAATAACATGAAACACAATTTTAATTTATAAGCGTAAAAGGAAATGTATTATTTCATACGAGTTAGTAGATATATTACAATAGAAAAACAATTTTATGAATGAATTGGAAACAAGTAATATAAAAACAATTTAAAGTCAATTCCTACTTAGGTCAATAAAGAAAAGATTATTTTAGTTACCTTTTCTTAAATAATTACAATTAATATAAATATGCATATACATATGACAGAATGACAATATTGAGTGACAAAGTAGAAAGCGATTTTCCTATCTATATATGGTATTGGGCTATTATTTTTGTTTGTTACTATTTATATTCATTCATAAATTATATTCTCTGAAACTAGGCCATTCCAAGTAGTATGTGAATCCACGACCTTTAGATTGGAAGTTCAACGCACTGTCCAATGCGCTACAGGGACACTACAAGCAATTTTTCTTTTTTTATGGAATTGGACCGTTATTTTTGTTTGTTGCTATTTATTCATTAAATGCAATTAACAAATGAATTAATATTGTTCCAGAATTAGACTATGAAAAATAAAGTACTAATTTGTTCACTTATCATACACTATGATTATTTTCGGATACTTTAATAGTTTGAAACTGAAACATGTGAATTTTAAATGAAAGCAAATTGTTATTATTGACATGTAGGCCGCGAGGTGCTATTTGCCAACCACTGGGATATGAGATCTGAAATTTGGGGTCAAGTTGTCCAATTACATTCATTCCTGTATAAATTCTCCTAAGTACTTTTTACAACAAAAAACTTTTCAACTTGCTGTAAAAATTATGTACAAAATACAACATATTCTCAAATTATTTGTACTTTTAGTTATATGTTAATAAATAAGCAAAAAATTCTGAAGATAACCATGCTTAAAAACTCCATTTTAAGTAAATGCACTTTTAAGTGATTGTGGGGGGGAGGGGGAGGCACGGTCCGTATAGTTAAAACTAAAATTAAAATTTAAAAAAAAAAGGGTTTTTTTTAAATTAAAGATATTATTTTACATTAAGATTCTACAAATTTTTTTTTTCTTTGTGTTACTGGTTTGATAAATATTTAATTATTATACTATCATTAAAAATGTTTCTACTCTATCTATTATTAACAGAATTGAAAAATAATTAAAATAAAGAAAAACTAAATTGAATTAAAAAATTTAAAAAATATTGCAAAGAAATTCCCAAAAGTTGCAGCTTTTTTCCTACAGTCAACAAATCTGACTTATTTGGATTGCAATGGTCCCCCCCTCCCCATTTTTTCCTTATGTTGTACAATGTAGTTCATATCACATTCGACTTTATTTTTACGCGGTTAAAACGTTATATGAAATTCCTTGTAAAACCATGTGAAATAGATAGTATATATAAAAGCAAACTCAGTAGTGCAACAACCCGTAGAGGGCCAAGGTCTTCTGTGCCTTTCTCGATTTTCATGACCTTGGGCTCTGAGGAGCATGAGTAGATATTCCTGTGATCTGTCTGACACGAGCCTCCTGGTGTTTAGTTCCCAAGCAAGTTTGATAGTCATTTATTGACCCACTGAAGGGATGAAAGGCTGATTCGACCTTGCCTAAGCCGGGGTTTGAATTCCGGACTTAAGGCATGGAAACGCGATACGCCACGACTCAGCCACACTGGGCTTAATATAATATATTTATATAGTAAAAAAGAAATTATACGTTCCACGTTCTTTTAAGTCATGTATTATGAAACTATGAAAAAATGCAGTTTAAAAATTGCATACATTTATCAAGAATTTTAAATTTATGCATGTTTCAGTAAATAATTAAAATAAAATGAGGAACGCATAGATATTGCCTCAACACATAAAACAATAACTTAATAATATTTGAAATAATAATTTTAAATTATTCACCACTTCTTTTGTATGTAACGGATTTGAAAATATTGTGTGAAGTAAGTAGAAATCGCTATTTTCAATACAAAGATCTATGTTATGTTGCTATGCTGAAATCCAATAAACGTTCTCATCCTGTAATAGCGTTTTGAGAAACTAAACTGCCTTCAGAAATGTCTTACGGTTTAAACTTTTTTAAGCAGAGAACCTTTTAAATTTTTATAATTGTTTCAATTTAGCAAGCTCTTCATTTATAATTTTAAAAATACTAAACTGAACAATTATTCATATCATGTAATAATTAAGTTTTAATCCATGTTTTGATCAATATTTTAAAAATTATTTGCTAGATTTGTACAAAATGCATGGTCACTATGAAATGACACGTTATTCGTAATTCGAAAGAATTATTCAGTAATGCATTGGATGAATGCATTTTGTAAGCTTAGTTTAATTTAAACTAAACGTGACGAATATAAATATATAATTACTATATTAGCGAGGTATGATATTATGAAATACTTGTGACCATTTTTTTCTTGGTTGTATAAAATCATAGACCCTATTTCTATAAACCTACAGCATGAAAAAAATAACGTACGAAAAGCTGGTATTCTGTTGAATAATCTTTCGAGCAGACTCATACTAATAAGAAATCAAAATTCATTCAGCTGTTTGCTAAACGAGTCCGGAGATCTTGCAAATGAATGGAGTGTAGTGCCATGCTTTCAGAAATAAAAGAGAAGAAAACGCGCTTTTTTTTATGAGTTTAGAAGACGAGATCATTTCAGATCCAGAATCGTTTTTTCAAAATCAATGTTGAATTATTGCTGCTTAGATGTGTTAAAATCCCGAACCCGACAAAGATTTCACTTTCCTTGATCCTAGCTATATTTTCGAAATCTTACAACCGGATAAACACTTATCCTTTTCAAACTAAGAAATAAAAAAGGCAATAAAACTAGCTGTTGAATATGATAAATACTTAACACATAGTATCTATGAACAATTAAGTGCTTTAAAAAGCTGTTTAAAATCCGAAATTGAGAAAATCCATTCTATCAAAAAGCTCACGGAATTATAGGTACTTCATTTCAGTAGCCTCACCTCCCGTTTCCCGGATGTTATGATAGCATGCCTAGTATTTTATGTTCTTCCTGTCACAACCGCAACAACTGAAAGTTTTTCTAAGCTAAAATTATTAAAAGTCATCTTAGAACTTTCATAAGCCGAAATTGGTTTTCGGACTTAAGACTACACAGTACCCTTTTTCAAAAAAATTTTTGGAGACAGTAACACACAGTAAAAAATAATTTATATTTTATATTCATACTATAATATTAAGTTGATTCTAAAAGCAAACAGTCAATTCTTCCATTTAAGCAACAAAGTTAATTCTAAAGTATCGAAGTTTTTTAATACATTATATCTATGTATATTTATTTTGACATTTTCATATATGTTTCAATTATGCGATCACTTTTATTTATTTTCAAAAAAAGGGCCCCCAAAGAATTTTTGATACGGGACCGACTACGGGTTAGCCAGTGCAAATAAGAGTAACTTTTTGTCTTCATTTCAAAATATTCTTATTAACTCAAAATAAATAATATATAAATAAAAAAAAATTAAGTCAATTCCTACATAGGTCAACAAAGAAAAATTTTATTTTAGTTACTTTTTTATTAAATAGTTACAATTATAAATAATATAAATATGTATATAAATTAGACAGAATTAAGTGACAAAATGGAAAGCGATTTTTCATTTTCCTTTCTATACATGGTGTTGTACTATTTTGCTTGTTTTTTACTATTTGTTCATTCTTTAAATTGAATTATTCTAATAAAATAGTATAGTAAAAAAAATCACATTGTCAGAAATTAGTCCATCCCAGGTGGGAATCGAGCCCACTACCTTTGAATTGGAAATTCAACACGCTAACCATTGCTCTACAAGGACACAACGAACGATATTCCTTTCTATATATGAACTGTTGAACTATTATTTTTGTTTGTTACTATTTATTCATATTTTAATTTAATTATGGAATTAATTTTTGAAATAACTGTATTAACATCAAGTGTCATCCACTACAAGTTTTAAAAAATGTATTTAAAGAAGAACGGATGAATCGAAAGTATTTTACTAAGGATTGAAAATTAGAACACGATATATATATATATAGACATATATATGTCTATATATACATATATATGTATATATATATACATATCTATATTATATATATATGTATATATATACACACACACACACACACACACATATATATATATATATATATATATATATATATATATATTGAGAGAGTGAACTAATAGCAGGAATTGAAAAGGAATTATTTTGATTTTGTATATGCTTTATATTAAAATAATATAAAAATAAGTTAATGTGCTTTCCTATGAGAAGACTAGCAAAAGAATTATTTTACCCCTTTATTATCTTTTACAGGATTTTCTAATTAATATTTGCTTACGAGTTTTCGCATTTTTAAAGAAGAATATGCAATACGTGATTTTGAAAATGCAAAGAAGTAGCCAGAATGTGTAACAGAGAAATACATAAATGAGCAATAAGTTTGTCTGTAGTTTAGTGGTGCGGGGAGGGGGGGGGTTGAACATTTAGTTCTTTAGAGACTTCATCTTCATTCCGGACATTTTGGAAGGTAGTTTTTAAATAATATCTAATTCCTTTTTAATAGTAATTCTGAATCAATATAAAGCAATATTATTAGCAATAAATGTAAAAAGCATTAAAAAAAAATTTTTTTTTTCGTAATTTAAAAATGAAATGTAACTAGTCGGAATATACAAATTGGATATTAATGAAAGGTTTGCTTCCTATTGTTTCATGATCAATGCCATATCATAGAAATTTGATCAACTATATGCATTGCAATTCCTAAATAAAAATTGTGCTATTACTCCTTTTTATTTGAATTAGAATTTTAAAAATATTTTGAGTGTCTAGAAGCACATATCACAGATGTTTTTTTGAAAATAAGAATAAACTATATATATATATATATAATTGAACAATATTTCAATGGGGGAATTAAAGTTAATTTTGAGATGATTGCCAAAAAAATGGGAATAATTTAATCTAAATTTAACATTACATGATTTTGAATATTAAACATTGTAAAATGTTAAATAATTGCAATTTTTAAAAATTCAATATTTTTATTTCATATATAAATCTTTTTATTCATATTCAGTGCTGTCATTTAAAATAAACTTTACTTTCACTCGATGTTACGCTTACGTTAAATCTTGCTAAGAAAAACTGAAGATGGAATATAAAGGGAAAGAGTAACAAGTATTTCAAACGCAAAATGAAACAAAACTGGTCGGTAGAAACAATGCACTTGTGCGGCAGTCCTTATCTGAGAGAGTCGTAATCTCATGCCCAAGGAAATTACTCAAAAACAGCGGATTCTATACAGTCCACGAGGATGAAACGTCAAGTAATCAGTTTTCTCCTCAGAGCTTCCTGTAACTTACACAGTACAAAAATTAATATGTGTCTCCTGGCTCCTAAACTGTCATTTAAATTTTCTGGGACAATTCTTTGGACTATGGATCAAAATCGGAAAATTTAATTTAACTGCTATGCTATTTTCTAACCATTTTTCTTTTTGGTTGATAGCAAAAATATTTCGAAACTAATTGATTCTAGTAAGTGATATCGCACCTCAAAAAATGCTGTAACTTTTGTTTGCTGTTTGAAAGGAAATTTGGTTAACTCGTTTACATATTATAAAAATAAATTTGTGTGACGGGAAAAGCTTTGAATAGATTTAATGTGTTTTCACATGTCCTGTTAAAATATAAATATTAGAGCCTATTCGTAAAACTGTCCGAATGAGAATAAAATGAATTGATAATTATTGATTTCGTTTTTATTAGTATGGACAAAGTAGCTGAAAGTGCAGGGAATAAAATCATAGTTAGGAGAATTTATTAATTATGGTTAAATTTAGAGAAAGTATGTGTTCCCCACAAATTTTTCTTAAACGTTCTAAGCTAACAAAGGAAAACATATTCATATTATTTCACATTAGTACACGATTATATAAAATATTATGTTTGTGTGGCTTAAAAAAATTTACTAAGCTTTATTTGATACCTTCGTTTGTAAATTAGAGACTTTAAATTTAACTTAGATTTAAGTATGCACAATTGCTTAAATGAATCTTAATTTCCTTACGGTGTAGAAAAACTTTGAAGACTTAATTTCACTAAAACTTGTCGCTGAATATTCATCATTCTGATACGTCGCATACTCTAATTTTATTATTTTTTTGTGTAAATAATGCAATAAACTTTTAATACTGAAGCATTTTTAACGTATTTGAAAGTTCAGTTTAGGTAACGAAAGAGTTGGAAAAATAAATATTATTTATTGAAGTGATGGTAAATATCACACTTCCAGTAAATCATCAGAGTTTATCAAAAGAAATGCAATTTAATAATCAACTTCATGAATGCATTGTATATACAAGCCTTCAAAAATTTATCTATTAAATTATATATAAGTACTTTAAATATTAATAACTATAAGAACAATTAAAGGGAAGCAACCAAAAGACGAATCAACTCATTTGTGATCTTGAGGAGAAAAATTTCGGGTTTAATGAATGCTAAATTAAATCAAATAATGGTTTCTTAAATTTAAATCGAGAGAGGAAAATGATCTAAATTGTAGTTTGGTGGGATGGGAGAGCACTTAGCTCTTCCGAGCATTCATTTCCATTGAGGGCATCTGGAGGACATTAAAACACTTTCAAATTACCTTTTTTGATGAATAATAATTAAAATTTAATCCTAACTAATGAAAAATAGTAAAAAGAGAAATTACATTGATATAAATATATTTACAAATATAAATAAAACAAAGCTAAAAATTGATGAAAAATGATGTTCACTTAGAAAAGATTTATTTAATTTTCCTTGATGGGAGTGGGAGGACCTTTGCCAAGCTCTTGATATAAAAACAAGAATATAAATAGGTTGTGCAACCATAATAATATTTCATTTTTGTAGTAAGAACAAATAAATGAATAGACTGGATAGGAAATGTTCGGGATCAAGAGAAATTAACTTTGATAGAAAATAGTACGCAAGCGTAAATTTCTAACTTTGAAATTGATTGATTTAAAGCAGGGGTAGCAAAACTTTTTAGGAAGAATACCACTATATGGTTTAAAAAAATATGCGCGCAACTTCTAAGTTTTCGAATAAAAAAAGAAAGTATATGAAAAAACGAAAGTGTGAGTGAATATATTAACGTCGCTCTGTTCATTGGCGACGGATCCCCTAATTTTGAACCATGGTCAAGAGACGAGGACGACAACTTAGCTGGCACCATCTTTCGTAAATACCACACCACATCAACGAGATGACGTTTGAGCCCTCGACAGATTTAACATGCATGAAGCCCCTTCACAGTGGGTCTTTAGAGAAACTGGTCTCAAACTCGTGACAAGCCAGCCACGATCTGATACCTTGACTACTATGCTACCACAACCAGTGAAATGATAAAATAAATATTTTACTTATAGACTTATTATGAGATTTTTACTGAAATTACACATTTTTATATAAAAGTCTAAGTAGTGGAAATTCAAAAATAATACAATAAATATGACAAAATTACGAACTTAAGTTTTATTGTTAACAAATTTTTTACATTTCTCGAAGATGCTAACAAATTCGTTGTTTTAGGTGTATATCAGTAATTATTGAGAAATAATTTAATTTTATTATGTTCATAACAGAAAACACTTGTTCACACACACACACACAAAAACTTGTGGATCCAAACCCCTTCAACTATATCTCACATCTGACAGCTAAATAGAGAAGTTTGAAAGAATTCCTTTCTCTTACAAATTTTCAAAATTCAACATAATTTAGATTCCTTGCCATTCAAATAAACTTCTTATGTTTGCTTTTTGGTGTAATATATAGTTTCCCGACCTCTTTTCAACTGGCATCCCCTCTTCTAGTGAATATTTCAATACCGACCCATCCCACTCTAAGAGAAACAACAGCGTACATGATACATAGTGAAAACAAGTATTAAATTTTTTTAAATGTTCCTTATTACTAATAGAATATATATTTTTTAATTTTATTTTTTCCTATACTCCCCAATTTTTTTCCTTGCTAATCTGAAATACTTATTTCCACAAGTATATTTAAATATGTAGTTTTTTATATTGCAGCTTTGGATATTCTATTGAATTTCTTCATTTTTTAAGAGTGGAGTAAAATTTGTTGTTAACTTGTCATAAAAACGCTTTTGAAAGAAGGTTTTGATTATATGAAGCAGTCTACAATTAACGTTTCTTCTCAAAATAAAAAAAAATGACAGTTTCTGCCTTTAAAAAATCACACGTTAATTCCTGGTTAAAGTGTTTAATTGTATTTCTTGGATAATATGCGTAATGAAATTCAGTGGACGAAACATTTTTCCTACTGCTCATAGACAAAGACAACATTACACTATATAAAATTAAAACTTACTACAGCATTCAATTTAATGTAGGTCTAAATGTATTGTAATCTTTAAGTTTTTCATCCCCTTCCCGAGCTACCGAAATATGAGGAATTTTGTACACGTGATAGAAATGATTTAAATACACACAATCGTCATAAAAGATAACCAGTATCAAAGTTTACTTTTGTTAGTACATGATCAGCGTGTTTTTTTAGTTTTTTTTTTTTTTTTAGACTTTATTTCGTTAATCCGCCGGAGCGCCTCCGTGGCATTTCAATGCCCCGTAATTTTCTCTTGAGTCATTTACTGCCCCCGAGAAAGCTGTAAACGCACACGTTGAGAATCTATGGTGTAATATAATGCTGTAGGTCAATATTTCTGATTTGGATTTCAGGTGGATAACAATAAACCTATTGCCGAGATATTATGGGGAAAAA